AGACTAACTCGAATGGATTTTAAGATTCTCAGAATCGTGCTCTTAATGGGTTCAACATGTAATGCTCATAGCTAGTCAGACACCATTCTAAAACCTGTGTGTATTTATGTTTTAAGGCAGAGCTCAGGTGTAAGGCTATCATTATCTGTAATCAGTCTCCCAACAGTTTAATTGTATGATGTTGTCAGCAACTCAGTTTCAATAGCAGTGAGTCGTGAGGAATTTAACTATTTTCCAGGAAGGAAGGTGGCCTCTCCCCCTCATTCCCTGTCTTTTCTATTCCCATTGTAAACCAACTAGACCCAAATACAAATACGACAGGTGGAATCTTGGCCTAATGATACTTTGTGATCCAAGCACTTTGTGGCTTTTTAGCCCTCCTCTCTGTCAATTGTGTACATATTTCACTGCATACATTGCTGTTGCATTTACATTCCATACAGAGTCCTGGCTGCTCTTTTCATGGCTGTTCCATGCTGCATCTTGTAAAACTACTTGCACAGCCTCTTCAACCTCAGCTTGCAGTTCTACCCATAAGTCTTGTCTGTCTTCTCTGGAATTGTTGCATCTCTTTCAAGCCGTTTAATTTATGATTAGCTGGTCTTGGCTCTTTTCCAGGAGTTCATCTGATCAATTTGATTATAGTGTTGGTATGCCAGTTCTTCTGACCACTTCAACCACAAAAGTGGTTACTTGAACTGTTCCTGGTCTTGTCCTTCTTTTGGCAAAGTGTCAAGTTTTGTTTTGATGGCAGTCTGTACACACATGAGAAACAGGAGGACTCTAATCTAGGGGGTGGTTTCCTAGTATTTCTAATAATAAAATGACTTTCATCTTTGGCTAGTGGGAAAAAAGATTTGATGAGTTTGATGGCCCCAAGGCACCAATATGCAGTTTATTTCAGTTTGTGCTAACGTTGTGTGATGTACTGATTATTTAAGAGAGGAGTTGATCCCCATGCAACAGGAATGTTAAATTCTTTCAGTTGATCTCTGATCTTTCTACTAGATTTCAGTATTTCCTCTGGAAGGGAGGAGAGTGAATATGGGCACAATATGTACTTCCACGTTTTATTGTCACAGATTTTCATGTCAATGACAATTTCTTCTGAAGAGCTGGAAGTGCTACAGTTGCATCATGTATTAATGTACACTGGCAAAATTGGATGCTTTGTGTGAATGCTCCACGTTTTGAGCTTGCTCTCATATGGGAAAAATCTCTGCAAAGACTGGCACAAATAGAAAATGAGAGACCTTCAAATTACCATGTTCATCTAGTAGAACTGCTTTTTGAAATTACAGCTGTTACTTTTTTCCTGTTACTTGTTAGCAAGTGTTAATGAGGAATTGAGAGAGAAGTGGAGTACAGAGAACTTTGCCTGCTTTTTGTTTTCTGTAGCTGAGCTTTATCCCTCATCAAACGCCTCCAGTTGGTGTGGCACAATGTCCTTTAACTGCGTGGTATTTGTTTACTTCACAGCAAGCAGTTCTACTCCAGTAACCATAGCCTCTTGGTTGCACTCCTGTTATTGTTCTTTAGTATTCCAGTTCTTCCACTAATCCGTGTGTTCCTCTGTGTAGATCAGAGCTACTGGAGGCAAGTTAGACTACAAGGTGCCATTTGTCTCTAGTCTTACTATGGAATAACTCATCATCTAGATGATCACAGAACATAAAAGGTTGGAAGGGACTTCAAAAGATCATCTAGTCCAACCCTCTGCCAGAGCAGGACCACCTAGAGCAGGTCATACAGGCACGTGTCCAGGGGGATTTTAAATGTCTCCAGAGGAGACTCCACAACCCTTCTGAGCAGCCTGTTCCAGTACTCTGTAACCCTCACAGTGAAAAAGTTTTCCTTATGGTTCTGTGGAACTTCTTATGTTCCAGCTTGATGATGGAGTTAAAAGTCACCGTTGAATGGTTTTAAGATATTCATCATTATGCCGCTACTTGTTCCAAAATGTATGAGATGAGACAAGACAGGCCCATCATTTCCCAAACAGCTGGTGATGGGCTGCAAGTGCCACTTTCATGTGGATGACTTGTGGAACGGTCAGGGTTCACCTCTGAAGCCCTTTGCTCTTACTCCTGCCTGCATCTTTGATTCTACTTGTGTAGAGAGCAGTGCGGAGCTGCACAAGCTCAGGGTGTTTGGGAGAGATGTTTGGGGCAGGTAAGGCCACCTGCCTGGATCTGAGCTGCCAGGAAGCAGCTCCACACAGGCCCTCACTGCTGGGCTAGCAGCCCGCACACACCACGGCAGGCCCTGGCTTCCCAGGAGTCAGGATGACAAGGCTGAGGCAGGATGGGCAGCATGAGATGGATGTCACCAGGGTAGAAAGCAAGGGCCAGAGTGCAAAGGTGACTGATGGGAACAGGAAAGGCAGGCAAGTGGTGTGAGTGGCAGATGGTTGTGACTCATTCAGCCTGTGAAACAAGCGCTTGTTACAACATGTTTGGAGAAAGTCTGATAGTGCTGTGGAAGTGTAAAATATTTCCAGAAACTCTTCTGCAGTTAGTACTTTAAAAATGGAGTAAAATCTGACCGAGCAGTCATCACCAATACTACAGCGATGTGGTCTTTCGTCGGAGTGTGAAGTTAGCCATGGAAGAACAGGCAGAAAGATTTGCTTCCAGTCTTTGTTCTCATTTATGACCAAAAGAGCTTCCCAGGGGACAAACAAGGGAAGCTGAAGCTGGGAAGTCCTGCTAAGTGACCTCCATGTCCCTCAGTGCAAGGTCACATTCGAGTCATGTTTTGCATGCCCAGGTACTGAGTAGCTTCAGGCTTCATTTCAGGTGTCTCAGATGACACGACTCACCTGCAGATAGAGGGATTTGGACACTTTGGCATTTTTCATCCATTCTGTTCTTCACAATCCACTGGCATTTGAGAAATGGCCTGACTAGTGCAGGACTAACAAAGTCCAGCTAATCTTTGCAGTCCTCTGTGGGAGGACCTCCCTGACATAAAGTACACCTTTTCTCCTCAACTCAACAGGAGCCTCGTCGATACCCCCAGCACCGCCACCGCCGCCCCTGCCACCAGCAGCTCCTCCTCCTCCCAGCACAGAGGTGCCAACGCCGCCGAGCCCGCAGCCCCCGGTCAGCGCGAGCCGCGGAGCCTTGCTCAGCTCTATTCAGAACTTTCAGAAAGGAACTCTGAAGAAAACACAGACGTGCGACCACAGCGCTCCCAGGATCAGCTGAGGCCCCTGGTCGCACCAGGGTCGAGTTCCCCCTCCCTGTCCTGTGCTGCCCAGGGAGCAGACCCTCCTGGCCACGCCTGGCCCACCAGCACATGGTGGCTCATCACGCTCTAGCTCCGTTTGCCCGTTCCAGCTTCCCCTGAGCAGCAGCACTGCCCCCTCTGAACTGCGCTGCCATGCTGCCATACGTCCTCCGTTCTTTACTTGGTTTCAAGAACTTTGTTCTCTTGTTTCAGGGGTACAGCAACGTCTATATAACTGAATAAAAATCTGAAAATAGGAATGACCATGATCACGGTGAATTAATGCTTTTTTTTTTTTCCAAATTACAGGAATGTAGTTTTAGTCTACTCGGTTTTTCAGCTCTCTTCCATGCACATGTAACTCATCTTAATTCTTGCTGTGTTGAATCAGCAAGTTTTGTTTGAAATAATCCAGCTCCCTGCCCCTCAAAGCATACTGCACAGGGGAGGGAACTGGAGAATTAAATCTCATCCCCTCCACTTGCTGGTGGAGTAAAAATGCTGTCTCATTAAACTTGTTCAACTGGACATCCTACCTGAAACTCGTAAGGAAAAGTGTTTTTTTAACTGAGTTAATAGGGCACGGGGATGTTATTGTTGATTTAGTTAAATGCAAAGTTACTTCAAGTTAATTCTACAGATTAAACTTTATTGAAAGATCCTTTTTGATTTAAAACCTTAAACAAATTGCACTTTAAAGGATTATAGATAATCCATTTTATAAATTCAAGTACATCAGTGTTTGTTACTATGCAGAGACTGTCTGTACAAAGTTTCATGTAACCTGTGATACTCAGTTGTTTTTATTAAAATGTTAATGGAATTCCTCCAGCAGCGTGGTGGTGGGTGTATTCAGCTAGGACTGCACCTGCAAGCCAGACCTCCTAAGAACCAGACAGGGCTTCTGGTGAAGGAGAACCCTGACAGGTATTCCTGGCCCTTGGCTGAAACAGGACCCGAGCTCCTCTGTCTGCTCAGAGGTGTCTCTGCTCCAGCAGCACAGTGGGAAGGCTGCCAGCCTGGGCTGCTGACCAGCCAAGCTGCACAGGCCCCTACCCACAGCCCTTGCTCCATACCAGGAGCTGCTGGAGGAAGTGGAGAGGAGCTCTCCCTGCCTGCCAGGAGCAGCCCCTCAGCTGCAGCCTGTATGAGGTGATCTGCTGAAAGGCTGCTGTGACTGGGTCCCAGCTCTTCAAATACCATCTACACAACAACTGCTGCTTCAGACTCGGGCTCGTGTCTGAACAAAGTAACTTATTTTGCACTGTAAGAACTATAGTTTGACCATGCTATGGTTAGCCCATGTGATGAGCTTAACAAAGAACAAACAAAAACATAAAGGCAAAACATCTGGGGAAGGCTTTTTTATATCACTGTATGTGGCAGCTAGTAAAGAAAAATTAGGTAGTTTCCCACCACAGCCTGAAGTGGATCAGGATCTTATTTAAGCTCTTGTGCAGAAGCTTTCCTGCATGAACAGAGTGCTCTTCAAACTAAACTCATCCCGCAGGCTTCCAAAGCTGCTTTGGGCAGACAGTTGCACTTCTCAGTTCACCAGGTAAGCAAAGCATCACCCACTCTGCTTTGAGCCTTTGACCTTCAATAAGCCGTGCAACCACGGGCTCCTAGAGGGCTGTGCAGCTTTCCAGGGCTGGTCTCAGGCCTCCTCCTGCTCACTGCAGTTCTTCACCAGCCACCACTACAGCTGCTGTAACAGCTTGTCTGGGCATTACAAGCCAAACAGAAATGGAGGATTTTTCCCTCGCTCTGAATTTAAAATGGGATGTCTCCACATACAGTAGCACTAACCCACCTGTACTGTTGAACAAAGAAGCATTACCACGTTGCTTATATGAAGTGTAGCTTAGAGGGTAACCCCATATAAATACTCTGGGAGGTTACTATACTTTACCCACTGTACAAAAGTTCATGTAACTATACACCAAAAGTTGTGCGTACAACTTGCCTTAAACGATTAATACGCTGTAAAGCAGGACTTTAAAACGTGTATTTACAACTCAGATGTTCAAAGTTTTCTTCACTGCAAATATTATATCCTTCACTTGAGGTAGGCAGTTATCTTCTAAAATTTTGGCGTAAGGCATAGGAACATCTGCACCGGTGACACGCACAGCGGGGGCGTCCAGGTAGTTAAAGGCAGGTCCTGGAACAAAGACAGCCGTCAGGTTGCCAGGCGCTATGGCCTTCTCTCAATTCAATTTCTGAATCTCAATCTATTTAAACAGTTTTGTTCCTGTAGCTCTTAGTATTCCAGAGGAAGCTGTTCCTGCTTGTTTGTCTCCATACCCTATGGTTTAGTCAAGAAGTTTCCATCCTGCTGCTCACACAGTCAAATCCTGGGATAAGAGTTACTCGCAGTGGAAGATGAGTTGGATCCACCGTGCGAGTATCTCTGGAGCAGGACAGCTAGGCTCAAGCTCCTCAGACACAGCCCCCTAGCTTTGCCTTCATCTGCCTCTATCAAGAACTCATCAGAATTTAGACAAGAGAATGAGATCAACATGATCACTGCAAAACTCAATACCTTCCATGATCCTGGCACAGATTTCAGCTCCTACTCCAAACTGGGGCCAACCTCCTTCCACAGTTACGAGATGGTTTGTCTTCATGACGCTGCCCTCCACGGTTTCGATGTCCATCGGTCGAATGGTTCGCAGATTGATAACCTAGGGGAAAAAAATGCACGTGCTGCTCAGGTATTTACAATTACAAGAAGCCTGTGGTTAACACACTGAAGTTTTGCAGAGCCTGAATGAGAAGACCCTCTGCTTTTTTTTTTTTCCCCCCATCTTCAGGGAAATAGAAAAGCAACAGAGACCGCACCCACCTCACACTCTACACCTTCTTTGGCAAGTACAGCAGCTGCTTCCAAACAGTGTCCCACGGGTCTGGAGTGTGCCACTAATGTAACATGAGTTCCTAGAACACAAACAAGTGTTAAAGAAGAAAACCCTTAAGATTTAAAGTTTTTTTTCTAGACCTCAGGCACCTTTCAAGGTAATGTTAGGATTCTCTTGTGAGTTTAAGTATTTGAAATGTTAAATGCTCTATACTTACACAGCATGGAGTGGTAGCAGGACTATGCTAAGACAGAGACTTTATCCTATAATACAGGGAACTGAAAAAAGATTTAATCTAGCTTTCAGATTATCCTTTTCAAACAGCCATATCATGCAGTGATAAATTATGAACAAGTGGACTGAAATACTGCAGTGATCTCTCTTTGCATTTTTGACAAAAGTTACCTACGAAGGTGAGGAAAACCATTTTTCAGCCATCACCTGCTCCATCTCTATACTACTGAACAAGTCCTTTACAAGGGTACAGTTTTAGATGATATGCAGAGAAGTAGGAGATTTTTTCCTATATGGGCCACGAAACAAAAAAGTTTACTACTGGATAAAATAACATTTTAACATTTGAAACACTGTCCTGTGCCCCAAGCCAACAGTGTTCTGAAGAGCTTGAAAAAAGTCCCTAAGCAGTTCAGTGAATAAGGAAACAAACAGGATTTTCAGCTTACCTTGCTTTTCTACTTTAGCTTTTCCAATGGGAACAATGAAATCCTTTGACTGTGCCTGTTCAGACATTTCAAAGGGAACACCATAGAGTAATTCATTTTCCAGCATCACAACTAGAAGAGAACATACTTGTGTTAACAGGTACATCTGCAGGCAGAGAACTGCACTGGTGATTAAAGGTACTGCAGCACACTAGCTCAAGACACTGAAGCCCATCCAGGCAACAAAGACTTGAGTGTGTGTGCGTGAGCAATAATTAAAAATTTCTTTATAAAAAATCAGTCTATTTCAATGATGAATTATTTAAATTATCTACAGTTAGTCTTAAATGAGATCAGGTATTTAACTTTTGGGACATGATAGTAGAATTGCTAGTTTTAGAAAGGTTATTATGCATGCGTGCTCGTGAAAAATAATGACAAAATTGCTCTGCTTTTAGTTTAAAACGTTCTGAACTTATCACCTGAATTTCATTATCTGTAAAAATGAGTTACGTCACCACTGTATATGCAGGAACTCCTCCTGACACATATTCTTTCTTTTTAACCCCTTTACAATAGATTCATAAATGTTTCTGAGTTTCCGAATTGTTACCAAACTAGCCCTAAAGACACGTAGCTGGCAACAGCACAAAATCACAGTGCTAGCAAGGCAAGTGGCTGTTAGGAAAAGAATAAATACTTCAGTGCCTTTGGGAGTAGCCTAAAGCTGCAGTAAAGCAACCTTCAGTGTTTCAGTGGTGAACCACCTTTTTTTTGCTGTTGTTTCAAATGGAGCAGGAGGGGAAAACATTCTTTTCAGGACGGAGTGCTAGGCGTTGCCGCGACCCGCCTGCGCTCACCCGGATTGTCATCCCGGATGGAGGCTTTCAGCAGGCCTTTGGCATCCTCTGAGCTCCAGGGGCTGACGACTTTGAGGCCGGGGCAGTGGCCGTACCAGGCGGCGAAGCACTGGGAGTGCTGGGCGGCCACGCCGGCCGAGGCGCCGTTGGGGCCGCGGAAGACGATGGGCACGCCGATGGAGCCCGACGACATGTAGCAGGTCTTGGCCGCCGAGTTTATCACCTGGTCGATCGCTTGCATGGAGAAGTTGAACGTCATGAACTCGCACACGGGTCTCAGCCCCGCCTGTCAGCGTATTACAATATACGTTAGTATGCTTTTACACAGAAACAGTTTATTTTGCGTTTTTAAATCAGAAGCAGAGGGATGCAAATTTACCAACCATAGCAGCACCAACAGCGATTCC